CTTTATGGAGACTTTAAGTTTGTCGTGGATGTATTCAATTCATTCCTTATGCAAGGCGCAGTGTGACTGACACCTGGTGTGACAGAGAGTTTGAAGTCCCCTCCCAACCGCCAACCCCCCGGGCTTGAACACCAGCTCCGTGTCTCTGCTTTTCCTTCCTGTTGCTTTGGCGAGTCACTTTGTATTTCTCATTCTAATTTTCAGAGTGAGGGACTGGGATTTTTAAGAGAATCTAATGTGGGAAGACAGTGTTTCCACCATTTCAGGGATAAATGAACATGGTACTAAATAGCACTGAACCACATAGAGAGAGAGAGTTATTATCATTTGATTCTCTTTCATTCTACCTGGTAATATGAAAGGGCTGGAGATGTATTTTTGAGAATTCTCCAACCTGGCTATTCCCTCCTTTGACAATGAGAGCTGGTCACAGGTAACTGTACAATTAGGCAACAGTATGCAGCTGGGAATTAATGATGTTGATTTGCCTTTATTTTGACAATTACTTTTTTCAAAGTTTGTTTACTTGTTTGTTTGTTTATTTATGTAAGTAATTTCTACACCCAACGTGGGGCTTGAACTCACAACCCCAAGATCAAGAGTCCCATGCTCTTCTGATTGAGCCAGCCAGGTGCCCCTTGAGAGTTACCTTTTTTATGACACGTAGGTAGGGCTACAAAACTATCTTTTAAGTAAATTTAAGTCAAAGAAGTGGCTAAAAAACCACATAATGGTCCACAAGTGATATTCACACAGGATAGAAATAATTAAACTGGTGCCCAAAAGTCAAAGTTTAGGAGAAACCAAGTTAAGGTATATGACAGAATCTCACACTGAGTCTCTGAGTATACTTAGGGTTTGGTTGGAATTCAGGGACAGAAGAAATGACTGAACCCGTTTGTGAACTCTGGTTTGAAACCTCTCTTTACAAAATGGAATTTGAGGCTGCATAAACTAATAGTGTGGACAGGATGATTCACACGGACCCCAGACTTTATCATGCCTTCAAGTTGCCCTTGGGCTGACCTAAGAACTCTTACCTGAAAAGAACCCTTACCTAGGTCCACTGCTCATATTTTTAATTCTCATGACTTAGAAATGGAAAGAAAGTGGGGAAAATACAATTAGCATCTTAAGTTTCATTAGCCTGTAGTTAAAAGTTACAAGAAAACACTAGATCACACTGGTGTTTGAGGACAAGCCATGGGAGGAAAGAGTCCCGTTTCATTTGCTCTCTGAATTGTCAAACTTCTGGCTGATTGCTTTTCCTAATAAGATAAGGGAGTAAACCTTAGAGAACATTTCTATTCTGTGACAATATAGCCTAGGAGCACAACAAAAGACCAAGAATTAGGAGAGGAGACAAGACCACATTTAAATTTAAGTACATGGGGGATCTACCTCATATTTTCTCTAAAAAGAGCTATGAAGCCCCCAGAAGTATTCAACTGTCGACCACAAGGTTTTTGTTTATCTTTCCAGGAATGAACCTTTTTACCAAAAAGCATACGATACCACAAAGCTCTTAAAACATTTCATTTTCATTTAACCAAAGGTAGACAGAGTAGCATATATATATGATTTACAATTTATATACCTATATAGTGTACATATATATATATATACACTTTATATACCTATATAGTATAATACATATATACACACACACACTCTGTATGTATACATACATATGTGTACTTTACATGCACTATACATTGTAGGGAAAGGAATGTTTTTCTCTTGAGTTGTAAATGAGCTCACCAGCTTTGTGATAATCCATCACCATACAAGTAGGTGGGTTTTCCCATCAAAAAGCAAAAGCACCAGATTCTGAGACTGGTTTTCTGCCCGTAGCCTGTTCAAAATTTTAAATGTTTCTATCAGATCCAAATCCAAACATAGTATGAAGCCTCATGCTCCCAAAAGAGTTCAGGAGACTTAATCTCTAGCTCTGTCTCAGCTATTGTCTTGCTATGGGTAAGTCTCATCTCCACCTGGGACTCATCTGACCCAGCCATAAAATGGGTGGATTATGGTAGATTAGGGGTAATGCACTCAGATGTCAGAAGGGGCAAGGCAGGTGACATGAACAAAGGAAGCTGGCCGAGAGTAAGATCATAGGATGTGGTGGTGGTGATGGTGAGGGAAAGTGTGGCTCCTCTAAAGGAGACAGCTGCTATCAGCTCCAGGCAATGGTTAGCTAGAAAAACAACTGAAGGATAGCACAAGCCCCTTATCCCTGGTGCCTCTCACACCTTTAATTTATTCCCTTAAAACTTTTTAAGTTGATTTGTTTATTGAGAGAGAGAGAGAGAGAGAGAGAGAGAGAGAGAGAGAGAGAGAGAGAAAGAGCCCACACACATAGGAGTGGGGCAAAGAGAATGGGAGAGAGAGAATCCCAAGCAGGCTCTGCACTGTCAGCACAGAGCTGAATGCGGGGCTCAACCTCATAAACTGTGAGATCACAAACTATGAGATCATGACCTGAGCTGAAGTCAAGAGTCAGATGCGTAACTGACTGAGCCACCCAGGTGCCCCTAATTTATTCCCTCTTAACATGCTTTTTCTTCCAGATCTCCCTGCCACTCCCTACCCCCAACCTTCTCAGAGTCTCCTGGACTTAAGCCCTCTGGACCAAGTTTCTCAGGGATGCCCATGCCACCCTCGGCTCCTCTTGGCATCGGTCTTCAGTCCTAGCCTGGGAGCTGGAGCTTGGGTATTCTGGGACATCTTGCCTCAGTTGTGTGTTTCTTTCCTACAGGTTTGAGTTTGCTCTATGTAGTTGGATACAACTTTGTGCTCTCCGGGAGAGTAAAGCTGTTCACCCCAACACATGGGGTTCTGTGTGTGAAGCTCTTTGCACACCCACACAGGTTGGATCCTGGTGCCTTCCAGTGCCCCCAGGAGGAGGCATCAGAGAAAGACACCCAGAATGTAAATGGCCTGACACCCTTCTCCAGGGAAGACTTGTGAGTCTGAGCCAAATGGCTGATGTATACTTGTTTACTGTGTAAGCAAGAGGAGAACATCTAATGTACAGTGGAAACTTGTACAGAATAAATAATAGCTTTGAGACATTCAAAAAAAAGACAGAGCCTCTAAAATATCTAGAGAAACTGGAAATCCGTATTTTTAAAGTGAGAATTCTCTTATTATTTTCAGCAATGAATTAAAAACTATCTGAAAGCACTATGCAGGCAAAATTTACAATGTAGGCTAGATTCAGCCTGTGGATAGCCATCTTGTGATTCGGTACTTGACGATCTCTTTGAGATCTGGTAGCCTGAACTCTGAAAGGAGCATTTAACTCCTTTTGTGCCTTGTCCATGAAGTGGAGGATTTGACAGTGTATGAGACAAGCAGAAGAGGAGTGGGGCTGCTGGGGAGGCAGTGGTGCTGCAGAAGGGTGACACAGCCTAGGTCAAAAGGCAGGGCCTCATTGCCAGCACTGTTCCTCTTAGCTGTTGTGACAATAGCAATACTACTGTCAACAACAACAACAACAACAAAATCACCCTAGCTCATTCAGAGATGGACATGCCACTCCTAGAGTTTACAGAGTTGTTTGGGCAATTTTGTTAATTCTTTTTCTACATGGGGAAGGAAAAACTATCAAGCAGTAATGAAAAGAGAACAGGGGGTGATTTTACCCTCTGCTTCTCTTTTGGGATGGAAGTCTGCAGAGACACCTCCTGTCCTCCAGAGGGCGCTAATATTACAGAGCGTTTGCTTGAGTACATAAAGGTTCAAAATAAGAACTGGTGCCATTTTGTGGGGGGTGGGGGGGGTCGTTGTTGTTGTTGTTGTTGTTGTTGTTGTTGTCTGTTTTTGCATAGATGGCTCTGTTATCCAGATCTGTGTCCAGCCTCAGCTGCAACCTCACACCACGTTCATGACACACAGCCTTCTGTGTGGAAGGAAGTTATGGCTGGGCTTGAAACCTGTCCCCCCACGGCCACCCCACCCCCACTTATAGCTCTGCCATATTGGGTGAGGTGCTTACTCTCTTAGTAACTCAGTTTCCTCATGTATAAAGGAAAACAATAGCATTGTCTCCCTCACAGGGTCGATGTTAAGATTATAGGAAATCCTACACACCCTAGGGAAATGTCTAGTTCTGTGTTAGTGGTACTGAACTGTGTTCCCTTTCAAAGTTCTTATTTTTGTATCTAAGTTTGTCCTGCTATATTTGGAGTTCATCTGGTCATCTTTTGCCCTCTATGATGGAAAATGATCCCTAGAATAGAATTACTCGTTTTGAACTATATGAAACTGTTGACATTCAACACTATTGCTCTCCAAAATTTCATATGGTTCAATGCAATACAAAAGCAGTCACAAACCTAGGGGAGGGAAAAGCAGCTTCCATTTTTATGCTGGTTTTAGAACACACCTGAATGGCCTATAATCTTTACATTTGGGAAAGGTAAACCCTTTGGTAGAGGGACAGACACTTTCTCGTCACATGTAAACTACCATTTGGTATCCACTTCCCGTTCACAAACTGCTTTGCAAAAATATAATTTCCTTTAACTCCACAACAACAATGGCGGTGGGTGTAAACACACAGCTTTTCACATGCTCCTGATGTATCACTGTTAGTATGCCCGAGGTGATGGGGTATGTCATGTGCCACTGTGCTTCTGGCCCCCATGTCCACACACTGGAGAGTATTTCAATCAACAGAGAGAATGATATAAGGAAAGCCCTGCCGCTCACTGTGAAGGATGGATCAGACAAAATGTAGTTCCACAGATATTTGGGTCAAATGCTTAGATGCCTAGGGGCCACCCAGTTCCGATACCGCCAGCAGTTCTGACAAGGACAAGATGTCCTTGCACTTTTTGATCTGGGGGTTGAAACTCTTGTGAGTTTCAGCTTAGTGGTTTGAGCTGTCTACAAGACACCATTCATACTGTCATCTTTCCAGTTAACTTTCATACATAAAGACATAAAAAAACAAAATCCACCACGGAACCCAACAGATGAGAACGCCCCACTGATTTCTTTTACCCATATCCTCAAAGGAAACAAATTTCTCTGACAGTTCTACAGATGGTATCACATCTGCCCTTTGTTCATCCTTTCATACAACAACTTTTAAACTTTTTATTGAGTGCCTACTATGTGCCAGGCCCCACGTGAGGCCAGGGATTAGGAAACTACAAGCCAGAGGGCCAAATCCAGTCTACTGTCTGGTTTTGTAAATAAGGTTTATTGGAACACAGTCACACTCATTCATGTATGTGAATTGCACGGCTGAGTTCTGGCAAAGCTGCATAGTTGTGACAGAAATCATCTGGCCCACGAGCCAAAATACTTACTATCTGGCCATTCACAGAAAAAAGTTTGATGAACCTACTCTAGATAAAGAGGATACAGTGGTAAAGAACAATAACAAAGTCCCCGTGGGTCTTCAGATGTTCCTGTTTCTAGGACTGCAGTGGATGACTGCTTACTGCCTAAAGGGGCTGACCAAGTTCGACCCACAGGATCACAGTCAATGCCACTTCTAGGGGCGTGCAAGAATGAGAATAAGGACGACAGGTGTGGACAGATGTGCAAGAGCAGGTGCGAGAGAGGAAGTGTTGGGAAAGTGGATTAGTTAGTGTGGAAACCAGCTGGAACAGGCAGGCCACAGGGATTCCCCCAGAGGGACACCCAAACCCACGGATGGGCCAGGGACCACATGTATCAGAATCACCTGGAGACATGATTAAAAATGCAGGTTAGCAGGCCCCACCCAGGAACCTGGATCTGAGTTCCAGAGGTGTGTCTGAGCTTCCACATTCTTAGCTGGCACCCCCACGTGATTCTGAAGCGCGCTCAAGTTTGAAAGGCACTGGATTAGTGTTTAGTTTTCGTGAGCGGTCGAAGGCGCTCCCAACGCGGTCTGGCCTGAAATCCACTCGTGGCAGGTGAGAAGGGGAAAGAATCGGGGCACAGACACACAGAGGTAGATGCAGTGAAAAGGCAGTTTATTGTCTATTAATACTGTACAGAGAAACAGAGAGAAGCTACAAGTACAGCATTGGCTGTCGCTGGCAGTGTTATTTCTGAAGTCAGTTTTTGTGTTGTTTTTCATCTGAAGGAAATAGAACAGTCAAAGTACACTTCAGGTTACAAAGTACAGCAGCTAGCCCAGCAAGTCTAATTCAGAGTCAGCACGACAGGCTCCCACCCCACCCCCCAACCAACCACAAAAATGGAAATATTTACAGAGAGGTCACTCGCCCCGAGTGAGCTACTAAAGCTGAAAATTCCATCAACAACCTACATTCACTGAAAAGCTGCATCAGACACAACATTTTCTGGAACCCCTGTATGATTTTAACTCTGCTAAGTCAGGAGCTTGAGAGGAAGAAAGAGTGTTCCAGAACCCTGCAAAGATTAGAACTCCTTCTGCTTGCCGGAATAGGATTATCACAGAATTGGGGTTGGAGCTGCACACAGAACAGTTCAGATCAGGCCTTGCCTAGTGGCCTCCCTACATGTAAACACTAGTTGCAAAACCAAGGAGCTGGAGGTCTCCCTGCCACCCCATCTCAACACTGTGAGGCTCCTGGGTGATAAGAGATGAGAGCATATCGGCTCTCCCTTCACACCTTCGGGCAGTTGTATAGCTCTTTCATTTTTGCAGCTGTCTCCATGATGCTGAGTTTGGATTGGGCCAGTTGGAGGGATTCTAGGGATAAAGGAATTGATTTGCATGGGAACCAGAGGGGTTATTTTTCTTCAGTGTTTGTGACCTTGCCTTGTTGGAAAAGGATTTGGTCTTTTAAGGCCATAGAAAAAAGGCCCCTTTTGAGGCAAGGACGCTGCCTGGGAAGAGAGTCTAACAGGGGTGGCGAGCAGACTCTGAGACTTAAGCTGCTCTGTCTCTCAGACAGAGGAACAGGTGTGGATGAAGGTCTTTACAAAACTGAGTTTGGTTGTAATGGGAACTTGGGAGCTTGGGGGAAAACTGGGCGGTGGCGGGGGTGCGGAAACCCAACAACTTTAAAAATTCAGAATCTCATTAGTGGATAAAGACAATTCTTTTTTGTCTCTACTTAACTTGGAAAGTATGGTGTGGCCCCACTGATATTTACAAGGACAATAATAACTCCTAATTTGATACTGTTTGGTTTATACATTTTATATGCTTATGTATAAACTGTAGATGGCCAGAGGCTTCTGACTACCCATCTCATTCAAATGTACCATAGTGAGTGGTCCCTTCCCCTCGAATGTAGTAATTAGTCCTTAAATATGTGAAACAGTTGAACTTCGATCATTGCTGTCGTGAGCTTACATTTAAAATAAAACTGAGAACAAACTGAGGGTTGATGGGGGGTGGGAGGGAGGGGAGGTTCGGTGATGGGTATTGAGGAGGGCACCTATTGGGATGAGCACTGGGTGTTGTATGGAAACCAACTTGACAATAAATTTCATATTTAAAAATAAATAAATAAATAAATAAATAAAATAAAACAAAGTAAAATAAAATAAAATAAAATAAAATAAAATAAAATAAAATAAAATAAAATAAAATGGCTATCCCCTTCCAAAAGATCATTATATGTTATTAAAGGCATAGCCCAGAGAGCTATCTGGCCATATAAGATGGTTTATCTGATGATAGGTATAGAAAGCTTGATCTTACAACCTAGATCTGTTTGGAAACACTGGATTTCACGCAGTGGGGGCAAAAGGGCAGGTCACGGGACCTCTGATCACGACCCCCAAGGTCTGGGTTCATGCTATAGAACTCACCAGAAAGTTACCTTTGTGGAATGGAGAAATAATTCAATCAAGGGTGTTTTCAAACTCAAGCTTCATAATGCATATAGATTTCATTATAAAAATAGCTTTCCTTAAAAAAATACACAAATGTAAAATATTCAATTTCTATAGCCACTCCTTACTCCCGCCCAGAGGGTAATCATCTTAGACCATAACAAATGGGCACACCATTCAGTTATGGCTCAGTCACACCAGTTGAGTCCATGTCTCTTGCCTTTTCAAGCTATGCCACTTGTGCTTAAAAATATGCTCCCAGACCCAGAGAGGAGGCCCACAGTTTCACCCTCTCACTGTGGGAAGGACTGCGGAAGGTCACATGCTCCATGTGGCCTGCCCAGGAATGTCAGGGTGTGATAATCAGACTCAGGTGAGAACACAGGGACATGCTTGGCTGACAGACGGGCATAGACAATGTCCAAGCTATGTCTACTTGATTCTCCCTGCGCCTGACCTGCAAGGTTCTGCCTCAAGGCTCCTGTGACGAAATTTACAGCCCTGAAGAGGGCTGGGCAGGGGCGGGGAAGAGAATGTTGTGTTAATACAGCTTTGGAATACAACCTGCATTGTTTGTTTGTTTGTTTGTTTGTTTTAAAGGACAGAAAAGAAGAACATGAACAGCAATGCTAAGGCAAACTTTCAAATGGCACATCAGAACTGTTTTTGTCATTTGTTTTGTTCACAAGGCAGATACATTCTGTAAACATACATACCATACAGTACATTAACCATAGGAAAATAAAAAGAAAGCCACCCTGTAATTCTTTTCTTTCTGTATTTCTGTTCTTTTACTCCAGAAGGACTGCCTGAAGTCTAGGGAGAATTTGACGGTTCATGAAATATGCGTTTCTTTTGATAAAAATGCAGTGACTTGCGAAGAAGAGCCCCAGTTGACTAGGAAGAGGCATTATGGGGAGAAGATGACCACTCACCCCCCAACTTGTAGAAACTTAGAAAACAGTCACAAAATATAAAAAAGTCATTAATTTTCAGGAAACATTTTGGTTTCCTGCTTAGTAAAAGAGAGCACTGAAAAATTGTTTTTTGTTTTTTATTTTTACAAAAGTTAAGGCTGTCCAGATCTTTGATGCAGAACGTTTAAGGTCCCCCAAATCACATCTTCTATTTTCCAGTTGAAAGCAGGGGTTTGTGCTATGGTTCTGATGGAGTGGGGAGGAGAAGCAGAGGCCTAGTTAAGTCCTATAAAAATTAAGGGGGGTGGGCAAGGTGGTCTAAGGATCCCCAGGGAAATTGCCCTTTGAAACTTTCAGGGTGTAATCTTTGTCTTAATTTTTTTTCTACATTCAAATAATAAGGATTTTGGGTTTTGTTAAAATGGGAATTTTATCATGGAGTTTGCTGAAGCTATGGAAAGACAGACACATAACCACACTGTGCTCCTCAAATGAGACTGACTTCTTTTTCCCTAGAGAATGTAGGCAAGTTTTCCTGGTAAGACCAGAAGAAGGCTATACGATGAGTAAGTTGGCAGCAAGGATCAAAGATCTCATCTGACTCATTTCCTGGAGCTGCTTGTGATAGATACCATAGCTGTGTTACCTGCCGGGTTGTACTATCCAATAGGACAAAGGAAACTCTCGGGTTCTATCCTAATTAGTGGAATTCCCTACGCCTTGACACATAGTAAATTGAGGAGCTGCTAAAAGGTTGCATATTCACAGCGTTTCAAAACTTACTTGTGGTTTGAATAACTGGATGTGCGTGTTGCAAAAATAGAACTTAAAACTGCTTGCCTTGGAATGGTTTTTGTTGTAAACAAATCACATTTTGGGAGATGAGACTATTCCCACCAGGAATGGGCCCTTCGGTGAGTTAAACCTCAGTGACAAGAGAGATGGCTGAACAACAGAAAGTCCCCTGTGAGAATTTTGTCCCTGTTTATCTGTGTTTTAAATTGACAGGGTTAATGCCTTTAAAAAGGAGGAACTTGTTTAGTGGTTCAATCTTGCCTCGGTCACCATATTCCCTTCCTCCTCTTTTGCTAAGCATTAGTTACCAGCATTAAATGAATGGTCATTTCAAAGGTGTTGCATGCTCCCTTGAAATGAAATTCTGCAAGAAGCAAAGAGAAATAAACTGTTTTCATGCTTGGCCTCCACATTTTGCTCCGGAGATGATATTGCATCTCTGTGTTTTCCCCTTTTATGAAAACTTGACCCTAACAGTAAGACATTCTACTTGTATGTAGGAAAAATACCTTGACCACCAGGAAGTAAAATGGAGTTGGTGGGAATTTAAAGCAGATACCTGTGTAGTAACAGTTCAAAAAGGAGTCAAATCAAATGAACTCTAGAATTTGTTTGAGTTTCCTGAAAGGCTTTGAATATTTTTAGGTTGCTCAGAAGGCTTAAGGAAACCATGCTTTGGATTTGGCCAGACAGGAATCCCCTCATCCTTTGTCCTCCCAGTATCAAGTTATATCACTGGACACTGGCCAATCACTGTTAGAGGCAATTAATTTTGTTTATGGAAAGAATTAATAGAATTATGGGTAAAAGAGGTACAAGGTAAAAAAAAAAAAATTCCCCTTAGTTTGTCCTGTTGTACATCAAAGAAAACGGAGTCAAGGATATATAAGTCATCAAGATTTTTTGGGATATGTAAGGTTAAACTTTACCATTTTAACCATTAAAAGATCTTGAATTCAATGCATTGAAAATCTATTTATAACAAATGAAATACCCCTCCTTCCCCACTTTCTCCTCTTTCCATTTCAAGGGGAACCGATTATAAAATTTTAGAAGAAAATCCAACTAACCATTAGCTCAAAAAGATCATAGTTTGGCAGCTTCATTACTGATTCTCTAATTAGTCTTGCTATGTAAGTCAACACTTACATATTTTTGGAGGGTGTGATGCCATACATAATAAAGTTTTTACAGAGAATGATAGCAAGGAAGACAAAATGTTCTCAATCACAACACTGAGGATATTTTCATTATGAAGGGTAGTTACTTGTTACTGTAGGTGAGATTATAGGTCTCATCCCATAAAAGCACTGGCTGAGCCTGAGTCCTCCGTTTTTATAGGAAAATGATACAAAATATGCAAACATATGCCATATTCAAACAAACCATTTACTATGGCCACATATCATTTTAATAAAAGTGACATGTCTTACTTTAAACGATTAAATGATAGGCTTTAATAGTAAAAGTATAGACAGACCTCTAATTCATACAATTTGCTAATCCCTATAATAATAATTGATGAATGAAAGTGCAGATTATCATTGGTCTTTTAGATCTCATGTGTAGGGTTGTGGTGAGAGGGGCAGATCATTTTCTTCACCAGGAACTAGCTCACTATGGAAGGACGGGTAGGTCATTTCTGGGAATTCTCTGTCCTCGAAGAAGGACTGTTTCTCAAACAGCAAGCTCACGGGTTCTAAATTCTACCATTGTACTCACTAACTGTGCTTTTAAAAACTTCTATAGAATAGTTCTAATCCCTAAGTGAGTAAAAAAAGATAAGCTATGGTCAACTTTTAGGTTGTTTCTTTATTAAATAAATTATTAAAATAATAGATTGTCCAAACATTCAGACTGTTTTCTTTTTCTATGTCAATAGGTTTATCTGGCAGGTCATGTTCTTTAACATCTAAATAACGTGTACGTGACCACTGACTGAGGAGCGTGAAGCTGAGTGGGGAGATTTCTAGGCAGTAAAACCAGATGTATTCCTAGGTAAGACAGCAGCTTTATACCACTGCAGCTGCTTCAGTGAACCTGAGATTATTTAGAGGGAACCCCCTCAACTATTCCAAAGCAAGCCATTGATGGAATCATCTTAGAAAGCAGAATTTAGCTCCTTCAGTCGTCCCTTCTCGAACTCTTTTGTTTGCTTGTTTACATAGTGGTGATAAAGTGACTCACTTTGTGCTAATTAAAATATAACTATTTGATAAAAATTAACTTTTAACTAAAGTGTCATTTTTTCCCCTGTCCATTGGAATAAATAGAATGTTAAGCCCGGAAATTTAAAATAATAATAGAGTTAGCACTGAGAAAGCTATTTAGGACAAATTTAGCTGGTTCTATTAAGAAATTCTCTCAAGACGACCTTATTTTTTTCTCATCGACTTTCCACAGAAGTTAGCCTTGATGTCGTATGACTTACTGTATGTTTTTAAAAACTATGTTCTACGGAACATAGATAAATTTTGTGAACGATTCACAACAATGCCATGAACACTTGGGCAAATATCTTCAAGTTGCGATATCTCTGTTATTAAAATCATTTAAAATTTTACATCTTTGTTTTATTACTGTATTATTATTTTACTAAATTGCTTCCCTTTGGTTTTACTAACCCATGTGGTTGTTTGCTTTGGGAGAATGCTAAGAATTTATTTAAAGAACTGTTCATTGTGTTCTAGAAAAAAAGAAACAAACAAAAAAAAAACCCTCATCTTTGATGTTCCGAAATCCCCAAAAGTTTAAGAAACATGCCTTAATAGGCAGCTCAGCTATGTGCCACTCAATTGGTACTTGCAGAATGAGTTTAAGTGCTTAACGTGGAGAAGACAGGTCTTTGTTAAACATTTTTTTACATTCTCAAGTTTGTTTTGAGGGCTGGCTAGACCTCCACGGTGACGTCACGGGAAACATTCTCTTTCTCATGGGGACAGAAAGAAAAGAGTCCAGAAGTAAGGCTCTGTAATCAAGCGGGTGGGTGAGATGAACAGGTAAATTCAGTTCCAGCACCGTCCGTCCACAATGAAGTGGAAACATGGCAGCGACCACTGTAGGTCAGAAAGACTGGTTTAGAAATAGGGTCACTGCAGAGATACTCCTCAAAATGATCCCTTCGTCGAAAGTACATTAACATGATCAGAAAATATCCGTGAAAAAGAAAACAATATAAAAATTGACTTTTTTTTTGAGACAATAGAAGCAAGGCTCATGGATATGCCTAAGTTTAGAGATCACTACTAATGCTCAAAACAATGTCTGTTTCATGTCCTTAGAAAATTAAAAATGGTGCTTCATATATAAAGGGTCCATCAGTTAAGCCGCAGAAAGAGGCAGCTGCCGATGGGCAGGTTACGGAATCAGTCCCTACATTTCAGCCGTGACAAAGCACTGGGTTCTTTTCTTTTCCATCAACTTCATTTCAGTTTTAACAGAAGGAAAGCCATAGATGCACAATACTGTAATCTGGAAGCTTATGTAAGGCAGCAAAAAGCATCACCCTAGATTGAACAGACTAAGTAAGGTCCACTTTTGGCCACACTAGCTACCAGCTAGAGCCAACAGCATTTTGCCACACGAGATATAAAAGCAAAGATCCACAGCAAGGGAGGCAAGGGAGAAGTCAGCGACGTGGTGACGTGTGACTACATTATAGGAACACGCTACAAAATGAAACCCCCGGTACCACTGGGTTCAATTCCAGTCAAGTGAATTAAGGCTACTAGTAACTGGCTGATGTGAAGAGTCCATTCCAATCGAGCAGTAAGAAATCGATTCACTCTCGAAGACACAAGGAAAGGTTTAGAGGAAAAGCAAGTTCTTGGAAAGAATGAAGCAAACACATGCACGCTGTCTCTCAGGTGAGGAAACTGGAGAAAAATGAGAGGGGAAAAATAAGAAAGATCAAAGCAATCCAACTGCAAGGCAAGGCAGGTGTTTGCTTCCAGTTCACAGTATTGCAGTTAGTGGTACAGTGAGGTCTACGTAAGTGGTGGAGAGCACAGAGGCTGCCCAGAAGAAAAGGGAAGAAAGAAGTGGTCACATGACAACACAGCATTGACAGCGCTTTTTCTTTTGGGTACCTGGGGCTGGCTCTGTGGCCAGGCTCTCTTCCTTCCCTTCTGGGGATGAGGGCTCTGTGGTGTCTGAGATTGGCCTCCCGGACACAAGCTCTGCCGCATTCCCATCGATAGTGGACACGTCCGTCACGGTCTTCTCCCTCAATGACTTCTCATCGTCTTCATCAATGAGGACCAATTCAGCCTTGATGGTTTCATCATAGCCTAGCACCTTCTTAGTCTCCTCTTCATCCTCAATATTTTGGTAGCCCATGAAAATCATGGTGACTGGCTGATCCAAGTTTGCCTCTGGCCCTTCCGTGCTGGGAGCTGGGGCCTGCTGCCCTGGGGTCCCGGAAGAATGATCTTTCCTAGACTTATGTACCATTTCTAACTTGGCTTCTTTGCAGAGCATGTGTTCCTTAGGGTGGCTGAGGCTCCCGTCCGCAATCACAGTTCTTTCTGACACGTGCCCTCCTCTGAAGCTTGATTGTCCCGCCTTCTGAATAAGCTCTTCTACATCCTTTGAGCTTAATCTGTGCACTCCATTTTCTACTACAGTGCCTCCTGAGTGCACCTCATACACTACTTTGGTACCGTCATCATAGACTTTGACTCCTCTCTGATGGACCCCCTCTGGGCCAATGGTGGATGTAGAGAGAATCTTGGTCTCTCCTGTTTGTTTGTCTTTCTCCACATTAATTTCCATGGCGTACACAGCTTGAATGAAAACAAGAGAAAGGAAGTGCATGTTACAACAAAAAAAGCCAGTGAATGGTTAATTGCCAAACAGACAAAAAAAAAAGGTTTTGTGCCCTTTCTAGTCTAACTGCCAAGCATCTTGAGTGTTAGAGTTGAGTGCACATTGTGGACAGAGGTGGTTATATATGTATTTGAACACAGAAGCTTAATACACTGGGAAGCCAGGTGTACAGAGTTACTATATCTCAGTGGCACTTATACTTTTAAGGAAGACCTGCTAAAATAAGACCACAAGCGACTGTTTGGATCCAACGTAATGAATTACAGGGAGGCTGGTGACATGCAAGTTTACCTTGATTGAGACCTTACCCTTATCTTATAGGCAATTTTATAGGCCCTGGTTATGAAATACCATAATTCCAAAACCTTGAATCTTTTTCCAATTCTTTCCCCAAGCACTCTACTGTTGTTTTTTTTCCTGCATTTCCTCTTACTGTTAATGGAGAATAAGAATATGCAAAGGATTTTGCAGGTGGGACCTGGCTATCCTCCACTGTTCGGTAAAACAGGGTGTGTGCGGGAACTGAAGTGACAAAAGCAGTCAGATTCCATGCTCTGAGTACTTCAATCGCTTAGCTAGGTTTCTGAAACAAGAACCAGAAAAAGAACAAGACAGAGGTAGTGTCATCCTGTGACACTGGAACTTGGGGACAATGACTACAGAAGGCCCCTTCTTCTGCCGTGTGCACAGCACACAAGCCAGGTCCTTGTGATTCTGCCCCATCCATCAACTTCTTTCTCTTTTACTGCCACTACTCAATCTGAGACACCACTTCTGCTCCCCTAGATTACTGGAAGGGCATGCTACCCACTCTTCCCAATCAGACTAGCCCCTCTCCAGCTCATCCCAAATCCTGCTGCCTATCTGGGGCTCCTAAGGACATGCTCTTCCCTGTTCTAGTCTTGTGTGACACTCCATATTTTCAAATCTGTTACACAGAGGCACACATTCTGTGGCCAGAGGCACACATTCTGGATGCCAGGGAACTGACCATTGGTCCCATAAGGCCAACTGTCCCCAGGCACCCTTTCCCTGGATGACCCATGGATACATCAGCCTCCACAGCTTCAAAACTGAATCCACCTTCTCTGAAAACTCCTCCATAGCCTTGGTTTTACATAACACCAGCACCATACAGCATCTCAAGTGAGAAGCCTCAGAATCACACCTGATTTGTCCTTTTCTTCCTAATTTCTTCCATAGCCAAACAATTGTCGTGAGAAATTAATTGCATTTCATACTTCTCCCCTTGTACCTCCTCACCACTGCCTCTATTACCACTGCCTCAGATCAGGCCCCCTTCTGCTCTCTGCATGACAGCTGTGCCCAAGTTCACCTGTCACTTCTCATAGCAGGGGGCAGAAGGGGCCCAAGGTTTGTTTCTGTATGTCCAGAGGAGCAAAGAATGGTTTTATATTTTTAAAATATTATTAAAAGAAAAGATAGGAAGGAAGGAAGGAAGGAAGGAAGGAAGGAAGGAAGGAAGGAAGGAAGGAAAGTAAAAAAGAAAGAAAGTAAAGAAAGAAAAGAATGTAAAGAAAAAAAGAATTTAAGAAAGAGAAAAGGAAAAAAAAAGGGAAAAAAAAAGAATATGTGCTCCACAACACCTAAAATATTTATAATCAGGCCATTTATAGAAAAAATCTGCCAACCCTGCTAGCCTATACTCCATTCTGCCCATAGCACCCTCTCCACAAACCCTGTGTTGGTTCCTTGTGTCTTTATAGGATAAATGCCAAATGCCTTAGCTTGGCATATAATTCCCCTTGGAATTTGTCTGCAACTTCCTTTCAAGGCTTGCCTCACAGCCCCTCTCATTCCATGTACACCCCGGCCACAGCAAACTCACTATTCCCAGAATTTAACATCCTTCCCTGCCTGCTGTCTCCCTGCCCAGCCTGCCTTTCCCATGTGGCATCTCTGCTTATGAGTCCTTACCTCTTTCAGAATAACTATAAGCTCCCCAACTATGTTAAGAAGATACAAATGATCTTTTCAACCGCATGTTCAATGGCTCCCTTTTCCTCTAGCATAATCTAGTAACTGGTGTTACCATCCCACACCTCAACTCTTCCTGCTTTTAAGATTCCCTTCTTTTGAAACGTCCTTCTTTTAAGTTTCTATACATCCAAATACGACCCATCCATCAATGCCCAGTCAGCTGCCTCCTCTTCCAGAAGGTTTCTTTGACTCTTCCATCTCTAAGGCATCCCTCTCTCTTTTTTTAACTTAGTTTTTTTCAGTAATCTCTATCCCCAACATGGGGTATGAACTCACAATCCCCAGATCAAGAGTCTCACACTCTTGCAACTGAGTCAGCCACTGCCCCCTCTCACTCTTCTTAAGAGTCTCTGAACATTTCTAAACCTCTCTGAAGGTGCTTCACACTTTCCACTCAGTAGTATAATTATTTGTGGGAATGTTTTATTAGCTCCATAGAGTTTTAGGATCACTAAAGGCTAGTGTTTTGCCTGACGTCTTTCTATGATTCCCCCCTCCCCACCAGCACCTACCTTGAAGTCTTTTGTATAGAAGGTACCCGATATACACACCTGTGAAACAAACACTACTAATTGAAAAGTCTACTTTGGTTGCCTTAATCTAGTCACAAATACTTTGTATAACACGACACCCATGAAAAGGTACACACAGTAATTAATGTTTGAACTGGTTAAGAAAATAGCAACGATACTGTTCCATCTGCTTGGGTAATAAGATAGTCTGTTCACAGTTCACACTTAACTAAAAAGATTGTGAAGTCAGATCCAATGCTTGATTTTCATCATGTCCATTTTGAAAGTTTCACTTATTCAGCACAAAGATCTTGAGTTTCCTTCAGTGACACAGTGAGAGGCCAACCGATCTTTGTCATTTCAGAAGCACATGGGCTCACACAATGATGGTGATGTCAAGAGAAATATTTGTCTCAGTTATTTCCTGATTTTCCACAAAGCGTGTCACCAGAGAAACAGAATAGACATTTAAAATTCTGCACGGACTCCAAAGCCTCTTCTTTAAATATTACACTTATAATTTGAAAAGCACCATTTTGGGTTATTATGTCCTATTACTATTAAAACACTCACGGGACATATTTGTAAATAAGGATGGTACTAATGATTGCCAGTTATAGGTACAATATCTAATTATCCATCCAGTAATATGTGAACAAAATGACACCTTGATCTGTAATCAGTACAGAATATGGAACAAAACATTTTCATATCCATATGTGATTGGATACAAATTATTAACATGGGAATCTTTAGAGATGTCTTTCTTCTTTTGCCCACCAATGAGAATGCTGTCATTGTTGGTCCAATCTTCCTCTCTCCGTCATCTTAACCCCCAACCCTCATTTTGTCTTTGCCTGTTCCTGGATTCAAAGACTGGACAGAAAAGACGATGAGGAGAAGTTCTGTGTTCGAACAGCTAAGTAGACACACACACAATAGAGTTGAGAAAGAAGGAATTCAGAAGGAGAGCTCATAAAAGCTGTGTGCAATATGGATGGAGAGGGAACATTTTTGTGGCAGTGGAGGGGATGTGCAGAGGAAAGAAAAGGAAACGTAAGAAATGCTTCCGGTGGGGATATGAACTGGATTCCTTTTCACATCCTTCAGGAAAAACAGGTAAAGAACAGAGTTTCTCTTTAGTTTTGTTCTAGTTTTGTCTTGTTCTTGTTCTTGTTCTTGTTCTTGTGTGTGATTTTAAACTGTATTTTGTTAAATGTGCTGTGGCCCTGGGACTGAACCACGTGTGGCATGGTTTCATTAGGGTTACATATTCATATCTACATTTTCATGTTGTACACTGTTCTTGCAATATCTCTAGAATATGGGGGTAGAACATCTGAAGACATTTTGCTCATAAAATAAACCTAAGTATGTTATGCCATAAAATACAATATCCATCCATATTTCCTCCCTCAGATAAAACAAGGCTTCAAAAGAAACAGATTTTTAGCAGGTTTTGTCAGGGTCCAGCCTCACATGCTTTGATTCCATCTCTCTCCTCTTAGGATGGGATACTTAGGTGAGCACTTTGAGAAGCTCTTGCTTCACACAAAGGCTTTGACTTCATGGATACCCATATGAGAATATTATCAGACATTCAGAAAACCACACAGGAGGCATGAACGTTTATCTTAAACGTGTTGTTGATGAGCAAGCATTGTTATTTTGCTCCAGTTCTCAGCCAATAATATTTCAAATGTGAACCAGGGTGGATATGAACCAGTAGGAAAATGAGACTTACATGTTAAATTTGACATTTTATTTTCGATGCCATGCACACAATTTAAACAACTCTCCCGCTTGTTACTGCCGAGTCGTGTTTACCAGAGGTCTCTCAATTACGTCATGCTCTCATGTCTAACCACAAAAAATACCCCCTGCTCTTCCCTACTCTTCCCTCCTCTTCCCTCAAGCTTCCCCCATGCCACAGGGGTAACAGGACAATCTGTGTAGTGACGAGGGCCCAGTGCTCAGCTTATTGAAAAAAAGAAAAAGGAAGGGGTGCTGCTGAGGGGCGGAGGCTTTCTGGGAAGCCCCTGAAAGAGATTTTGAGAGAGCCCCATGGACATACAAGAAAGTATGTGAAGAAAAGCTCTCTGAAATTTCCTGGAGGAGGGTTCTGGAGAGAAAAAAGAAAGGAGACAGTCTGATGGTAGTTCCAGTGATAGGAGGACTGAAATCTGGAAGTATTTTTTTACAAAATGATAGATTTAATTGCTGATTTCCCAACATGACATACTGATGACAATAAGGTTGGAGGGTTTAAAGCATTTGTGCGATTCTTTCCAAGAACCTAGACAGGGGAGTGAGTAGATACTCATTTTGTCAGTGAAGAATAAGAACCAAAGCAGTGACTTTCTGCGAAGGGATACAAGTGAATGATGGAATGGCACTTTGATGTTGGCTTTACTAGGTTCTTGCTCCCCCATGGCCCTCTGGTCAATAAGGAGAATCTTGAAGAGGCAGAGGTGGTCTAACGGGGGTTGATAATACTAGACTCCAGGTGCTGAAAACAGCCAGGTGTGGACTAGAAGGGAGGCCCCTGGGAAAGATACCTGCTGAAAAACCAGGGTGAGGGTGGGCTGTGAAGCTGTTCTGGTCTGGCATGCCGCGGAGCCCAAAGACATGGGTCTGGGAAGCAGAGAATGCTTGATTCCAGTTCAAACTTATTCCCATGGCTCTATGTACTCTTTTGTTCCTAGTTACCATTAGCTTTGGTAAAGAGAAGGCAGCTCTAAAGACTATAAGGAGCCTAGGGAAAAGGAAACAAGAACACCCAACACAAGTGACGTGTGGCTGACCAATCACATGATTCCATTTCAGAAACAAGCCAAGAGCATACCAAACGAGACAGTGTGTTCCATGAGGACGGAAAACTCAATCATGTCACATCCCTTGACTCATCAGGGTTCTCCCAGCTCACTTGTTTTGACCCACTGTGATCAGTGGGAGGAGGTAGAAGGCCGAAGGTCCACATGTAAAGTATAAAATGACACCACCTACTGTCATTAGTCAGTAAGATGGGAGGTACTGGGGAAAGGGAGGAAGACACTTGGTCTGAATTCCTATTGAGGGGACACCCTGTCTTTGGACCTCACTTTTCCCATTTGTACAATGAAGGATATCCAGCTTTGATATCCTGTGGCGCTGTAAACAGCCTGTGTGCCTTGTGACCCAATGATGTATAAAGTATGTTAGGAGGGCAACAGACAGCCAGATCATGACTGTTACCCAGAAGTGAACATCCAGTAGCTGACATCGCACTGGGAATGTAGAAGAGAAACGGTGCACATGCTTGGCTTATTGAGTGAAGCACATACATGCAATCTTTTCCTGCTGGCCTATGAGTACGCATATACATATATGCTCGTACCTTCTCTTGAGGATGGAAATACAAAACTGGCTATCATAATGGCAAAATAACAGTGAAAGTGAGGAAACTGATTCAGAGTGGATTTTCCCTCTCATCCCAACACTTAGGCAATCTCTAACTTCAAAAACCAGTAATCAAAAATTTCTTGGAATAATTGTTTTCCCAGGATACCTTAGTATCAACAAAAGTAAGTCAGCAAAGTTGTGATATCATGGATAACAAGAGCAAAAGCCAATTTCCTATATCTGATTTTGCTCCTATCTTCTTGGTCAAGAAGGATGGTTTTCAGTCCAAAAAGTGCCAGAAAGAATACCACTAAGAGAGAAATGAAACCCAGATGAGTGGAGAAGATTGGAAAAAAATAAAGCACCCAGGGATATAAATGCGTTCAGTGCTTCAGACCCAGGGATCAGTTCCCTTATCGATAAATGTGTCTTAAGAATCTTACACACTGGGGCGGGGGCGGGGGCGGGGGGCGGGCCTGGGTGGCTCAGTGGGTTAAACATCCGACTCTTGGTTTAGGCTCAGGTCATGATCTCATGGTTTGTAAATTCAAGTCCCACATTAGGCTCCGTGCTGACAGTACAGAGCCTGCTTGGGATTCTCTCTCTCCCTCTCTCTCTCTGCTCCTGCCTGCTCCCCCCATCCCCGCTTGCTCTCTCTGTCACTCTCTAAAAATTAAATAAACTTAAAAAAAAAAAAAAGAATCTTATACACTGGGAAAGGTGTGGAGGCAGACATCCAAAGTTCTGATTTTAAAAAATAGAAGGAAGGAATTACATAAACTATGTAGCAGTAGCTTGAGATCATGGCTGGCTAAATTCTAAAGTTCATTTTCAAAGAGCAGAGACCACCAAGAACCAGGGAGGATTCATCAGGAAGAAGGTATACAGATTAATCTCGTTTTCTTTTTGTTCCAGTTCTTTATAGACAATTTAGGCAAAGCCAGAGACACAGCACATCTGGATCATCATCAAGTCCCTTATATTCCTGTGAAAAAGACAGAAATATGTGCCTTTGGGTGTCAAGACAATTGCCAGAACTTGTTACTCATTAAATGATCATGCCCCATACATGTCTACTTAGGGTTCTCAAGGGCCAGGAGACCCCAACAGTATGTCACAGGCCTCTGACTTTGGATCCAATTGTGCAATGTTTTCATCAACGCGATGATGAAAAATAATGGAAGCTTACTTTTCAGATCTGAGATGATACCAAATACAGAAGAAAAGCAAGGTTGTGAGGTGCTAAAATCAATAGCTGTGAAGACCCCAACAACAGAGAAGATCTATTTTTAAAACTGTTAAACGCTTTATTCAGATGGAAATCTGATATAGAAATACAATATAAACCCAAGGACAGAGGAGCTGCTGTGTCTGAAATGGGAGAGAACACCTGAGCCCTGACTCTCAAATCCCCTTACACCATTCCCTCCTCTACTTTTCAAGAAGGCTCCTCAGTGACCCCCCAAGGGGCTCCTGACACTTACATGGGGCAATCTAACATGAAGAAATTTAACAATCACATCAAATCTACAAAGGGCAGACAGCTCATCCTTACTTTTGCCTTTTGAGATAATGAAATAAATAACTTTGTAGGTTCTCTGAGCAGGTGAAGCCATATGTGCACAATTAGGGAAACAGACTACGTGTTTCAACGGCAATGATTCTGGAACTACGACTACACAGGATAAAGGGAATGAGGATGAGCAGTGGCACATGTCAAACGACTCTGAGGCTTTACTTTAGAACCTGAACCTGAAAGGCTATGGCACCAGCGAAGTGAGTCATATGGTCTGTGGCTTCACGCTCTGGGCTGGGGGGAGATCAGCCCAGCCAAGAGTGCACGGAGCAGCTCTGAGCACTGTAGCTCAGGAAGATTAGAGACAAAGTGAGGAGTGTTCAGAGGGGAGGGACAAGGATGGCGGAGGGTGTCAAGGGCATGTAGAGTGGGGATCTGGGAAAGACCAGAAAATGACAGTCATTTTCAAATGGTTAAAGGGAAATCAACTTGGGTTTGTTCTGAGTGCCTCCAGGTGGCTGGATCGGGGGGAGATGGAGGCAGACGAATGATAGCTCCATCAGAGGAAGGACTTCCCCAGGGTCAGAACCAATTAGAATGAGCTGCCTGGAGGGACACTAAGCTCCAATAACAGAGGTGCGTGACTGTGTCTGAGGACCCTCTGTGGAGGGCGGCTATACCCTGGCTTCCATGTTTGACTGGAATAGACGCCACCTAATTCTAAAAGCAATGATGCTAAATAAATCCCCATTTATACACAATCCTGAACTTCCCAAACTCCAAACAACCAGAATATTGAGTAATGACAAGTGACATATATTAAAATGGCCCCAAGATTATGCAAAGTTTCCAAAAGGATGTTCATAAAGCAAGATGGATCATATCTAGGAAAAAGAATTCTAGTGGTGAGTGCCATTATTTGGTATGCTATCCATGCTCTGTATCGTCACTATTGGCCATAAATGATCATGAATCTGGACACTCCATTCCAAAAGCAGTCTAGACAAAGGAATTAACCACATCAAATGCGATTCCAGCCACAATTCTGCTCGCATATATTTCCACAGTTAGATATATCTATGCAAATTTGTTCTTCAGTAATAAACAAAAGTACACATAAACTTGTTTTTGAAGATTCTCATCACATAATACTTTTTTTGGAAAGTGCATTTGCCATTGGATCACTATATTTCTGCAGCATCTTCAACTATGAAGGAAGTTAGGTTGTGATAGTGCACGTAGCCCCACAGACCCAGCACTACAATCACATTAACATTTTACTCTTGCATATTACACTGTTCGACTATCAGTGCTACTCTTATCCCCCTTAAAAATTAGTTCTCACACACTGTCTCTACCCTCTCCCTGAGCTGATCCATTAGTTGGATCATATCACCTGTCCTGTGAGGTCCGGGAACATGTTGTGGAAAGGGGCTGGGAAGCTGTTTACCCACACTTATTGGGAACTATCAACAACCAAGGCTCCAATAACAAGCAGAAGGTATGTGACTGTTGAACAGTTATTACCTTATCTGATCTCATAAGTGCTCCTTGGAGCATTTGAGAGTCTGTGGCTTAAACTACTGCCAGTGATTCCTTTACAGCATGCCTGTAGGCGCAAGATCCAGTTTATCAGTCCAGGGACATGTGGACCTGGCCAGGGTTTGACCACACACCATTTAAGGTCCCACCCAACTCTACAACTCCATAAGTCAGTATGTAAAACTGATATGCTAAGATGTTTATGGAGACATCCCACAGATATTTAATCAGTACACAACTGCGTCAACACTTATTTGCCCTTTTGTTTTATTTTTACATTAAAATAAGGAGGGAATATTTGCTTCACAAAATATTCAGATTGGCCCATAAAAAAGATTTCTCTGGCTTAGAAGTCCATGATTATTTTGTTTCATGGAAAGTATCATTATAAGATTTATTTTAGAAATTAATTCACCTAGATTATGTAAAGCATAATTTCACATTCATATTTGAACTCATCCACATTGTCACTGGCCTTGGCCATTTTTTCATTTAGCCTGCTGGCCCTCATTGCATTTCTGTGTAGAGTGAAAAGATTGGTATAGATTTATTTTTCATGTCCATCAGTTCTGATTTCTGAGGCACATTCACATTGGATAAGGCAAAACATAGCTCTCTCTATACTTTGTACTCATAAATGTATTATTTTTTTAAATTCACCATTGTGAAAAACATTAGCAAGAAACATACGTTCTTTAAATTGCTACCTTTCCCCTAAGTATACCACAGTAGCTAAGAAATCATTGCAGAAATGGGGGACTTGGAAGTATATGTTTATAATATGCAAGCAGCTCTATTCCCAAAGGGTTTGGCAACATACTCATATACTTTGAAGATAATTTCCACCCAGTTTCCACCATAGCTCCTTTGATCTTGTATGTTTCTGATATGGAAAATAAAACCCCCTGCAGGCAGAGTCCAGATCAACTTTGAGAATAAGGAGAGATACAAAGACCATGAGAGACAGACCACACTAAAGTTAGGGGGAAAATGCTCTATTATTTTCTCAATATTCCCTCCTATTCAGTCCTTTATTACGTATTAGGGCCTAGTTCCTGCACTTTGTGGCCACTGTAAACTCTATGTCTGAGGCTGGGCTGAGGACAAGGTCCCCTATGGGAGGATATCTGGACATCCCTTATTATTAAAGCTCAGAGAAATGCCAAGCCCCATGTCCAGTCCTGGCATCAAAACCAAATAGCTCCCCAGGACTTACCAGCTGCTCTGCTAGTCCCGTCCTGCCCAGGTGATGGTTCTGCTGTTCGTGAACAGAGGATTGGCAGGTCGGGGAGCTGGGAGGAAATGTAATTTACTGCATCTGGTAGCAGAGAACAGGGAATGCAATTAGGCACAGTGTCGGGAGGCCCAGTGGGTTCACTGCCGAGACAGCAGCTTGTCTGCCCTACATAATGGACCGCAGAGGCGGCCACTGAACGAGAGGATCAGGGTAAACAAAGACAAGCATTTGCTCAGTGACTGGTATTCAGCAGAGTAGCTGAGGTAGGAGGGATCCTGGCCAGAGAGCTCAAGCCCCAGGACTGCTCTATGTATTAAAAGATTCATCAGAAAGCTCTAGATTCTAAGAGTACAATGAGTTCAGGAGGGAAAAGGGGTTTGGCTAGTGAGAGCCATTATCGACTTGGTAGGATTGACCAAACATGAGACATCAAACTAGAAATATGCCTTAAACAGTACTGAAAAATAGACTTGGGGCTCAATCCCTAAACTGCAAATGTAGTTTCCGGTGCCTGAATCATTCAGAAGACCTATTTTACAGACATAAAAAACAAACAAACAAACAAAACCCCAAAACTCTAGAATTTATCCTACAATTTCAATACTTCAGGTTATTGTTTCAGCCAGGAAACCCTGAGATTCCAAATAACAACAGCCAGTGAGTTCACCATTAGCCCAGTTGTAGGAAACATGGCCAAGAAAAGCAGGGAGACCAGCTCCAGTTGGGAAAATAGCTGGATAAGGCCATTTGGGGAGGTGAGACTCTGCGGAGTATGAACCTTAGCAGATGTGTCAAATCAGAGGAAAGCAGGAAACCACTGGGGGTGAAGGAGAAGAATTTGTGTATCTCCCAGAGAGAAGTGGGAAAGGGAAGGCAGGAACGTTCTAGAGCACTGGGCTCTATATGATGTGATTCCTTCCTTATGTCAGGACCATGTCCCAGAATCCTGGAATGCCAGTTGCTCCTCAGGGGTCCCTCTGGCTGCTTACTGCACATCTTCACTGAATCTCTCCTAATCACCTCAGACTCAACATGTCCCAAACAGAACTCCCACCTGTGCTCATCTGCTGCTTTTCCTGTACTCTGTGTCTCAGCTTACTGGCACCACAATTCACCCAGGATCCTGGGCAGTGCCCTGAATGCTCCCTCTCAGTGCCCAGTCAGCCCCCTAGCCTCTACCTCCTTCACATCTCTTACATCCGTCCCGTCCTCTGTATCCCCATTGATATTGCCTTTGTTCTGCCAGTTTTCATTTTTCCTTTTTAAATTGCATGCTGGAGAGAACCATGGACAGACACTAGATTAGGATGAGGATTAGGATTAGTTCAGTTCTGCACCAGCTAGACCATTTGCTGACTCGCATGTGAGTATCAACAATCCAGAATGTGCTGATATTGGACCATTATATTTTGAGGAACACACTCTGTGGGTAGAGGTGGGGTGGAGCTTCACTGAGGGAGTGGGTTTTTCCATATCAACCATTTGGGGAGAAGGAATAGGACATGAGGAGTAGGTGGGCAAGGCTTTCATCATGGTGAGGTTCAAGTGACTACCCCTCAGGGGCCTTATGTGTGCTGGAGAGTGGGCCCTAGGTTGGGCACACATGGTTGAGGGTCCTCTGCTGCAAAGAAGGAAACTAGGCCTTTGGGGTGATGGAGGGGACTGGGAGAAAGCCACGAGGCAGCCTGTGGGCATCCCCTGAAGATGGGCCTGGTTTGAGTCAAAGGTTCTGAGTGTGGCCACATGTCTGAGGTTGCACATGGTTCTCTATTATTCCTGAACTTAGGTTACTCTCATCCTGGGGAGTTGTGGGAAGAGTCTGGGCCCCAAACCAGCATGAGGCAGGACCAGAAGAGAGCAGAGGCTTCAGATAAGCTGATCTTGAGGGTGTAGGGGTAGACTTCTGACAGTAGCCCAGGGAAAGATTAGAACAGCAGTGTGTGGCTAGAGGGGCAGTTTAGGGGACAAGAGATGACCAGAGAAGATTTGCAGAGTTTGTGAGTTTTCCCTGAGGATTTCCAGAAATCTGTGGATTGAGATCTCAGTAAATCTGACTTTCTGTAGTCAAATGAGATGAAGGGTCAAGCCATTAAGACCAGGTGAGGACCCACATACTGGTCACGTGTGTGTCTATACATTCTATGCTAAATACAGAGTTTCTGGGGCACCTCTGATACTGAAAGTTTTAGCATCCAGAAACTAAAGGCACTTGCAGGCAGGGCACCTGTATCAGAAAGAGCACAGGATTCCAGGGCTTGTGTCTTAGCCTCCACTGGAGGCAGCTCCTAGCCCCGAAGTGAGTGGGGGTGGAGTCACCTTTGCCCATTGTTCCCTGGCTACAAGCTTGAGAACTACAGCTCTTGGAGGGCTGGGGCCACACACTCCTGCTGAGATGAGGGAGTGAAGAGGAGTGGGGCATGAGAAGGAGAACAGGGCAGCCCGCTCAATACATCATTAAGTCATAAACCTGAAGCTATGTATCCAGGAGGTGGCTGATAGACCAACACAAGGAATAATTAACAGGGCCTCCAAAGCCTCCATGGGAAGAATTTCTTCACATAGCCTCAATCTGTAAACTGCCCTCTTCCTGCCAAGGTCAATGTGGTCCATCATCCGAGAAGGTAAAGAATGGCCATTACCACAGTAGAAATGTAAGATCAGTGCTTCTTATTAGTTCTGGCACTACTGAAATATTACTCTAGCTATGAAGAATATGAATAGCCAAAGCTAGAATAAACTGATGAACACTCTCCTGAAAACATGATTTATGGGCACCTGAGGACACACTGAGATTTCCCAGCAATTGGTATAAAGGTGTTGATAGGGGGATGGCTTCCGGCCACCATAGACTTGGACAAGATGAAAACCTAAGAAGATCAGTATCATACAGCAAGGGCGGAAATAGGCCCAGGATACACATTTTCCTTTGCCAGTTCTGGCCCAGCTCCTCAGTGGGTAAATAATGGCTAGCACAGGATACGTACTATACCCAAATTATAGTTATAGAAGACATTATGCCTATTTAAGGCGGCAACAACAAACCCACCCAACTGATGAAGACTCTGCTATATACTAAGTGTGCATACGGGGTGGGGAGGAAGTGAGGTGGGGGTCAGAACGTATGTGGCCAGGGAATTCTACTCAAGATTGGAATACATGTCTCTAGATTGCTAGGACTACCACACAATCCGAAGCCATTGGTGATCCACCAGTTCCGTACTCTTATTTCCTCTGACATGCTTAGGGTGACATGCTCAGGTGACCTGAGGGGGATCATGACACAGGCACACACCAGCAGCCATCTCCTTGGCACCTCATTAAACTAGGAATGCTTTTGCTGATTATCTGCAGCATGTTGTACAGTTGTATAATCCTAGTTGGCCTTGGATTCCATAATCGGCATTTCAGAAGTAGGGTGTTTTTCTTAAGGCATTATTATTCTTAATAATTTTGTGTTAGTTCTTAGTAGTGACAGGTGGTTAATTCTAGGAGTGGTCTTGGCAATTTTGAAATCAAAGGGCCTTTGAAACCAAAGAATGATAAAATAATCAGACACTCCAGAGTCCCTCAACTGGACATGCTTCAGTTTTTACTCTCAGCCCACAGTGTGAGTTAAACATCGACCGCATTCTTGGAAGGATGTGTTCCCTCCTTCAAACTTCCTTCTTTGCCAGTAGATGTGGTACAACGGAAAGGTCCCCCCAGACTTAGTTATAACCAGAGATGGCAGGAATCATAATCCAGAATGGCAGGTTAAGACCACAGAAACCTTTTCCTGGCCATTTCTTAGGATCCCTAAGATTTTTGCATCCTTGAGCCTGAGGTACCCCTGCCAAAAAGTGAGGGCAGAGTAATAATGGCAATTTTCTCTAGAGGCTCTTTTTAGTCATGATCAAGTTTCCTCCCACCTCCATGAACCACTTAGGGGAATGGATGCAAATAGTGGGAAGTAATGGAGGAGGAAATGAAAGAAACTCAGGGTGAAAATGAAAGACAGAGTGGCAAGGGTTTATAACATGGCTTCAGTTTTGCTTGTTATCAAGTCATAGGCTATGAGGGTCTCCATGCGCCACACAGCCTTCCCAGAGACAAGACATTCAGGCTCTTTCCCTTCCCTAATTACAGAGATAAGTCTAGGAAAGGTCCCAGTTTGAGAAGGAAGAGAAAAAAAAAAAAGAAGTAAAAGCATGAAAGGTCAATGTGTACCTTCCAGTATGTAGGCGTCTGTGGGTCAATGCCCCACAGCCCCATTCCAGCCTGACATTTACTGCATTATTCTGATTATGCATGCTGCCTCAGGTCTCTCCTAGCACTAGGGAAGCTCACTATGCTTCCCATGAAGCCACCCTCAATTCCCCCAGAGAGACATGGTCACCTCTTCAGTCCATGCTCTATCCCCAAAGCATAGAACAAGAACTCCAATTTGGCTACGCCCTAGAGAAGGCTCTAGAATGTCATAGGTCTTCCTCCTGGAGTCCCTGCCGGTTTGACCCAGGAACATGAGGTTTAGTTTACTACCTTCCCAAAGATCATCCAGGGGCCAAACATCCAGATTTCCTGCCTTTTATTTGCTAGAAACCACCACCCTCCCTGAATCAAATAAAATAACATAATACCTTTTTTTTTTTTTTTTTGGCTAACGTCAGAACTATCCTTAGTGTAAATATCTTTGCTAATCTAGAAAAATACATTACCCATATCTGCATTTTAAAAATATTTTCCCTTATATTTGCAAATGGCATGGGGAAAACACTGATGCTAACTCTTATTCTGCCTCCTGATCATCTTCATAGTTTAGAGGTGGGCTTTATCAGAACCAGGTGAGCAGATGGCATCCAATCCTTCTGACGAGTCCTGGCCTTTTAAAGCAGGTCTAGCTGAGGGCCATAGTGAAAGTGGTAATGGAGTGGTTTTCATGAGCTTGTAGCTAAAGTTAGGGGAGCAAGGTGAAGAATGAAGCAACAACATTCAACCTTCACACAAGGTCAAGCATACAACCTCACGTTCATCCCCAAGGCCACAGGTAAGGAGAGCGGAGGGCAGGGGCAAGGGCGGGAAAGGAGGACAGAAGGAAGGCCTGCTCCTGCCAGGATGGGGTCAGGAAGCCAGGGCCCTGCTCCCACCCTTCATGTGCTCAAGGCCAGCTTAGGCCACAAAGGGAGGGATGTTCTGCCCAGCCCTGTTGCCCTGAAAGCCTGGCGGAATGCCAAGTTTTCCGATTCAAAGCAAAACCACAGGTCTTAGAAAGGTTTCGTAAACACCAGATGATGGCCTTCTGATGTGTGTTGTGACCTGGAGACCTAGCCACAAATGGGATCTTCCCTGCCTGGGACCTGGTCCCAATATTAGCACTCTTTGCTGAGCACCTTTTCAGAAAGGTCCAAGCAGTGAACCTTGAGGACCAAATGGGAAAGAGAAAGAGCCAGGCGAACTGTATAAAACTAGAAACACTGAGTCGAGAAACAGTCCTTGAAGAAGAGAGGCAGGCGAGTCTCAGGATGTGCACCTGCTCAGTGTCCTGTACAGAGTGCTGTTCCTTCCCTCTGGTGTCTTTACACACCAACACATCGCATCTCCCAGTGAGCCCGTGTCCATGAAACCCACTAAGCTGAGTGGGATAAAATACTTCTACAGAGTGGGGGCAGAGAGCACTTACACTTACCTCCATCCGCATTGGAGAAGCTCTGTGGAAACAAAAGCAGGGCAGAGCATCACCACACATGTGGGGAGACAATCCCTCATCCACCTAACCCGTCTTTCTCCCCCAGGTCCAGAATTTGACTGTGGTGGGTAAACCCAATGCTTTCTTTTCTTCTGGGAAATATGTTTGGGATCCTGAAATTTAACGAAAAGTTTTATCATTCCCACTTTATACTGAATTTCTCCCAGTAGGGATTCATGTTGATTATCCAGCGAATACCCTTAGCCATGTTGGAGAAGTGACATCAGAAAACCCCATCTTAAAATTAATGTGATTAGATTGTTTCTTCGGTCTGGGTACCTGGGTTATAAAATGGAAGGAAGGTTCTGAGACATTCAGAAACTCTTGGCTTTAGGAGTTCTCTCCTCTGCACTACATGGCATCTGTTTTCAGAGTATTTACACTCTGTGTATTTGCAATTCATATCCATTTGATACGGTTTTGCCTCTGGCTTTTTTATAAAGGAAAGACTTAAAGCTGTAAGGAGCAGGGCTAGTCTGCTTAAGAAGAATTCGCTTTAGAATTCTAACGTCCAAGGGGAGATGACTTTTTAGGCATGAGGTGCATGAAGGGTTTGGACAATAGGTAGACGGGGTTAATTCAATGACTCTCTTCTGTGCTTCCCCGCAGACCAGGTGGTCCCACACCTGAAGACAGGCTGCTCTCAGTGTCAGGGACGACACTGGTCCTCACACAATCCGCACCTCATTTCACAGGATGTGTGGCTCAGACTTCTCATCGATATTAACTGGCCCTGTCTCCAGGGACTAACTCACTAGTGCTTACTTCCCTGTGGATAAAATTCAGAAAAATCCCACTTGTTTTCTGTACCTTCTGAAAGTCCTTGAAGGATTTTTCCGTCTCCTTCAGTTTCTCTAAGATGATTTGCTCTTTGGCAGATATCTGGGACTCTTCACTTTCTAGTGCTTGTATTTCCTGCTCCAGCCTGGAAAACACACAAACAGAGAACAGGTTACTTTACTGTCCTGCCATCCTGGGGACAGAGAGCAGCTCCTTCCTGTGGGGTGACTTCCTGGCCGTCTGAGGTGCCAGATTTCACATCACAGGGCATCCTGTGTTTTCAGCTTTGCCACTCAGCACACATTGACCAAAGGAAAACCACCCTGAGCTACTGCCACTGGTTCACCGCCACCACTTTAAAATGTGCTTTGGTGTCTCCCCTCTAACCCTATTGATGTGCGCATTCTTAATTTGGGGGTAGATATTTTTACATAGCATAGGACATAATGGCTGAAGGAAAATAGCTTCATATTCCCCTAGCTATCTCAGAATAACTGTTCCTCTATCAGTTCTCCTAAAGTGTGAAGAACTAGTCTCATTCAAGGGAAATATGCTGCTACAAAATGGCTGGTGGCCAATATCCTTGGGAGCCTGCTGTCTGTCATCTCTCTTACTGGCGCATCCTCTACTGCCCAAAAGAAGGGAAAAGGGAGGGGGAACTGATACAGCTGCCCTTCTCTTCTGGAACTTTCTCAACTTTCACAGCCATCCTATTTTCGGAAAGGGAAATTTTGTCACTGCCAGGAGACTCTAGGAATATTCCAGAACAGCCATGATCTGGGAGATGTCTCAGTACCTTATTCTTTCAATGAAATGATAGTATTAACTGTTAACTTATATTGAGCACCAAATCTCTGCCAAGAACCAAGCTAAGAATTCATGTAGTTTAATTTATTTAACCTTCCCAATGACCTTTTGAATCAGGAATCCCCATTTTACAGATGAAACCATTAAGGCCTGGCAAGGTTAAGGAACTAGTTTATTGCTGCAGAGCCTTGAACCAAGGATTCAAGCCAGAAGTCCAGACACTACTCCTGACCATGGTGCTGAACTCTTACCACATGGGTTCTACGGTGTGTCACATTATTTCCTGCCTCACTAGATATTGTGTATGTAGGCATCTAGGGTGGCGCTGTTATGCAGCAATATCCTTAGGGTTATGAAGGGATGGATGTTCCCCTGCCTAAAGAATTATTTGGTCTGAATGTATTTGTTTGCTCATTCAATTCTGCTTTTGGGTTCTTTCCTCTCTGTTGTGCTAGAAGCTTTGCTGCAGAGTCTGTGTCTGCCTTTATCTGCCCCTTCCCTTCTTCCATCTTCTAGTCTGCTGTTGAGAACTAGCTAACCAAGTTTGTTCAACTAGAAAGAGTTCAGGGTGAGATCTTGAGAGGGGTAAGGACACCAAGCCACAGGCATGGATTTATTTAGGGGTGCACTGTGCCTCTCAGAGATTTCCTTCCTGGGCATCAGAAAAATGACCTCTGGATGGATGAGACTTTGCAGCAATTACTCTGGGTTATGAAGACAAACTCTGTGTACAATCATAGTGCCTCCAAATGAACACAGATGTACTTGTCATTTCACTCACAGTAAGAATGGAGGTCCTTATAATGACTTAGATGGCCCTATAGTAGCTAGCCTCCTAGTACCTACATGGCATCCACTCTTGACAATGAGAGCAACTCCTTATTTTCCCATTTGTGCCCTGTGTTTCCCCCTCCTCCAAGAAACTCATCTCAAAACCCTAACCATTCTTGCCTCAGCTGAGACACCACTCACCCCACGAGGCTTTCACAGATTCACTACCAGGAAAAACACTGTCCTCCTCTGAACATTTTTTTTTTTTACATTTATTTATTTTTGAGACAGAGAGGGACAGAGCATGAACAGGGGAGGGTCAGAGAGAGAGGGAGACACAGAATCTGAAACAGGCTCCAGGCTCTGAGCTGTCAGCACAGAGCCCGATGCGGGGCTCGAACTCACGGACCGTGAGATCATGACCTGAGCCGAAGTCAGTCGCCCAACCTACTGAGCCACCCAGGCGCCCCATGTCCTCCTCTGAACATTTATTAGCACATTATTTTGGTCATTCTTCTTATTTATCAAAGGTTAAATGTTAGAGCAGTGGTTCTCAACAGAGGTGATTTGCCCCCCAGGGGATATGTGGCAATGTCTGGAGATATTTCGGTTGCCCATAACTCAAGGAGAGTGGAAGTGGTGCTCCTGGTACCTGGTGGGTGGCGGTCAGGGATGCTGCTAAACACCCTGCAACACCCTGGACAGCCCGCACAGCAAGGAATTATCTGGCCCCAAATTCAATAGTGCTGAGGTTTAGCAACCCTCAATCATTAATTTCCCCCACTAAATTATAAATTCATCACGGAGTGGAGGGCACAGGTGTTCAATAGATATATGTGAAAGAAAAAGAAACTAAACCAACTGCCAAAAGACACGACTCAGCCACATGAGACCTTCAGGATTTCTTTTCTTTTTCCTTAATGTTTATTTTTGAGACATAGAGACAGAGCATGAGTAGGGAGGGGCAAAGAGAGAGAGGGAGACACAGACTCTGAAACAGGCTCAAGGCTCTGAGCTGTCAGCACAAAGCCTGATGCAGAACTCGAACTCAGGAACGGTGAGATCGTGACCTAGGCCAAAGTTGGACACTTAACCAACTGAGCCATCCAGGCACCCCGAGACCTTCAGGATATCTGAGACCAGGGTGAATTCTTCAGCAAGCCTTGATTTGAGTCTACAGGAGTCTACAGGAGAGGGAGCCAAGTGACATAGATGTATAAACCAAAAGATATACAACTCTTGTTTGCTGTTCCATATCAGCAGTAAAATCTTTCACCCACCTCTGTGTAAATTATTGTGTGTGTGGGGGGGGTGGGGAGAGGATCAAGGAAAGGGAATAGGAGCAACATACATGGGGCAAATGATCCAGAAACTGAATTAGTTCAATGGGTAGAGGAGCTCTGGGCTAGAAGTTTCCTGGGAAGACTGATGATAGTACTTGCCAGGTGGGTTGTGAGCAGATTGAATCTCAAGGGACAGAATTCCTCGGAAGATATGTAGGATGTGGGTAGAGTCTGTTATTCTCAACCATATTCCCTCCCTCCCCTCTTCACCTCCATGGAAAGTAGATACATCCCTGACGTACTGATGTTGGTCTTGGCCACTTGGTTTGCTTTGGTCTCACGGTGGGTGGTTTGTACCTTCCTGTCCCTTGACTATTGGCTCAGCCATGTCATCTGCTTTAGCCAATGGGATATTGCAGACACAACACAGGAGAGGCTCGGAATGTGCTTGCCCAGTTGGGTTTGTCCCTGTGTGCCTTTACCAGCACCAAGAGAAGAGTGTGTCTGGCCAATGGCTGTCCTTTCAGCCTTGGCCCCAGAAAAAACATAACAGGAGTAGAGTGGAGCCCAATCCAGAGTCAGAAGCCATGCCTAGTTGGATCTATACCTGAAATTAGAGCTGCTTAACTGGGCCCAGCCTAGATCAGCAAATACCCAGTACAGTCACTGAAGTATGAGCAATAATAAATGGCATTCATCTTAAACCACCGAGCTTGACAGTAGTCATAGAGTACTATTGTGACAAGAGCTAAGTGATACAGCTCAAATATTTATATATTATATGGGTACATATTATATGTGTGTGTGTGTGTGTGTGTGTATATATATATATGTATTATATGATATATACATGTGGATGTATACCCTAATAAAACATATAATAATATATATACATTTGTAATGTGTGTATGTGTATATGAGATTAGAAAGAATATAAACTACCCCTGCCCCACTTCTCCTAATCCTCAGAGAAATCTGGAGGGATACAGGGCACACTCTCATGAGGATTAAGATGGAGAAAAGAAGAAAATATCAGGGCACTGGGTGGCTCAGTCGGTTAAGCATCTGACTCTTGGTCTCGGCTCAGATCATGATCTCATGGTTCATGAGTTCAAGCACCGCATTAGACTCTGTGCTGACAGTGCAGAGCCTGCTTGGGATTCTCAATCTCTCTCTCTCTCTCCTTCTCTCTCTGCTCCTCCCCACCTCAAAAATAAATAAACTTAATAAAATTTTAAAAAGATAATAAGAAAATATCAGTAATAGTTGCCTCTGGGTAATGGGATATTGGGTCATTTTAATTTTGTTCTTTATAATTTTCAATATTTTCCCTTTTTAAAAAAAAAACTCACGTATTCCTTGTCTAACCAGAATAAAACCAACAAATGGCTTTTGAAAAAGTCCTCCTTTGACCGAGTGCTGAGAAGGCAGCATTTCACAGGCTGTGGCATGGGAAAGGAGCCAGCTTCTCATGTGTCCGTGAAGGGTTAAATGGACCCCCGCCAACAGCGATTTACATTCAACTCGACCCACATTTACTGAACTTGTTTGGTTGGACTCAGAACTAGGCACTGCAAGGGATTCTAAAATAAATAAAATCGTGTTAAGAATGGCTGGCTGAAAAAGGGGGGAAGAAAGGCCAACTCTAAAGTAGCTCACCTCTCCCAGTGAAGCAGCCTCTCTGTGGCCTGATGCCCACTGGCTGGCCCGACTGTCTCCCCAGCCTGCCCCTGGCCCTATGGGTTTCAGAGCTCTCAGCTATATAGCTCAAGCACTAAAGATTTGGGTCATGATACTGTGTAACTGAGAAGGGGGAGGGAGGGAGGGAGGGAGGGAGAGAGAGAGAGAGAGAGAGAGAGAGAGAAAGAGAGAGAGAAAGCAATGAAACTAAACTTCTGCAATAGCAACAAATGAGTTTCACCCAAAGGGGACGAATGAGGGGAATCGACAGTCTAGGCAAGTCAGATCCAAGGAGCAGATTCCTCTACAAATGCACAAGTGGGCTTGGGCCCAGTCTTGAGGGCGCCAAACAGCCCAGGCCACTATCATTCTGTGGAAAACCTGAGTCCCGGAGCCAAGAGCGTCCCAGGGAACAGAGCCTCATGGGGTTCATAAGAGTCATCTCAGCCAGGCTAGAGATGCTACTGTTTTGTAGTTTCGTGACTGAAATCTAATGCAGGCTTTCCTGGAGGAGCCAAGTAGATACTGCTGAACTAAAAATAAAGAATGGGCAGGAAGTGTAATTTATACGCAAGGTTAATCGAGGCTCCTGAGGCTGAGACAG